GCGACGTGTGGTCGAGTATTGGCGTGGAGAACAATTGGGCCCTTCCGATTGATCAATGTCGGATTTAATCGAAATGTTTTGAACCAACATTGCACCGAGCGTTCATTCAAGGTATCTCGTACAAGTGTATCGTTGATATTACAAGTCGTTTCCCAGTTTTATGACCCAGCTTATACTTCTACTAGAATATTATACGAATTTTTTTCCTATCCATTTTTAAGTCAATAACGTGGAATGAGCACAAATTAACAAAACAAACAGTAAAAACAAAAGCATACCTATCAGCATGTAGATCAACATCTGCACTGTAAAATTATATTGTAAAATAAACAAAATGAAGTGAATTATTATCCAAAAATCAAGCGTTGAAGTTCGAAAACACGAAAATCGACATTAATTTCTTACCATACAACCACAACAACGAATCCACGTCTGCCCTTCCTCGATTTAAAAATACGCATTAGCAAAAAAATTCAGCAATTTATATTTTGCCGAAAGAAATATGCATGCAAGGATATATACAGATATCCTAAAAAGAAAATTAAGAGAAAGTGCAGAAAAGATAGGTATTTAAAACACATTTTACAGCTACCAAGATAGTGATCAAACCATAAGTCCTCAAACGTGAAAAACTGGTTGGTTTATAATTGATAAATAGTAACAAAATACCGAGTTCGATAACCAGAATGTGATGAAAATTGTATAGTTAGAATTAGAAGAAAAAAATTGTTTAAATGCCTTACTTATAGAATAGACGCAAATTCTAAAAAATGTGCGCAAAATCGGGACAAATCAGTAATCAATACACTAGGAATTGTGGATAACAGTAACACAAATCGAGGAAACATAAATAATAAAAAAAAGTTCACATGAACATATGTTCCATTTGACTTCGTTCGAAAATTATAAACATTTTTGTGTTTCAGTGATCTGCAACAGCATTCCTTTATAGAAGATATTCGAAATGGCTACGCTTGGTCTGCGTTTATAAACAGTACTCTATATCAGCGCTTCTTATACTTTTTTCATTCATGACCCCTTTTTATCATCCAGATTATTTCGCGACTCCAGGATGAAGGGATTGCAACTAATATTTCTTTAAATTCATGTATCTGAATTAAATGTTTGCGACTCTATCATTTCGCTTTACGATCCCATTTGGAGTCGCGTCCCATAGTTCAAGAAACGCTGCTCTATATTATCCGAATGACTTTCTATCTTGTTGATTTTACATGATTTGTTAATTGAATTTCTGAAGTGAGCATTAGTGTCAAACGCCCACACAAACACATACACACGCTCTCAACCTTTCCATGGTGTACACTTGGGTTACTGTAATGCCGACGGTACGTATTATATTCAAAGTTGAATGAAACAATAAAAAAAGTCACGTATGAGGTTGAACCTTTTAACTACTATACGCCACTGGCTTTCGTGTATATCATCTTTTTGAACAGTATATTACTATTGTAACATAATTCTTTCCCTGTTATCGATAGTTATGCACATTATAGTCTAATCTAACGCAATTGCACAGTGGAAAATTCTGTCAGTCTCAAATCGCAATGATATTACATTTATGATATACAGGTCGCGTCAAACCTTATCGTTTAGTGATATAGTTTCGCAAAGATCGTTGCACAGGAAACATTTCATTTTTCAAATCCACGGTGAAATTACTTTCGAAAAAATTGTAATAATGGACGATATTTAGTGCGATTGTTTGTCTTTATTATACAGGGTGTCACATATGAAAACAATAAAAAAAAGTTTATGTAAATGTATGTCTTATTCTACCTTGCGCCCGTTCATTATATAATTTTAGTTATATTATACACTTTTTTATACAGTTAATTATATAATTTTTGAATATTTTTAATTATAAATCTGCACAACATCGTTTGAATATATTTTAAAGTAATAATACCTTTTTCCCCTCAAAATTTAACGTATTCAAAGAAAATCAATGCTTCTAATAAAAGTACTCACTTGAATGAGTAAAAATCATATAAAACACATAATCCCGATTGAAAAACGTTAAAAGACTATGATTTCACCGCCAAATCTCGGCTGTGATTATTTTTTTCCCTTTTTCCTTCTGTTGGAGGACTTGGCACCATTTCCCATTCGTTTTTGCTATCTATTCAATTTTCGCCAAGTTGGCGAACTCGTTGCCAAGAAAATCCACGAAGCGTTTTGTTATTTTACGAACTTCAACAGTGCAAAGTGAAAAACACGAGCGCATACGTTAAAGGTTACGACAAAATAATTTGATGAGAAGTGTCTTAAACAACGCACAGTGGAGCATTTGCTTGATCTAAGCGGCCAAACTTAAACAGGTTTATATCGACCTTTTATAAGAGGATATGAGAATCTAATATAATAATATACAATAATATGCAATTATATAGCATATAACAAGAAATTTATTAATATAAATTATATATAATTTCATATAACTATATAAAAAAATATATATTTATATATCATATATTACATGATGTAATATGCAATAATATTAAATTTAATACAATTTATGAAGTTGTACGACTATATGAAATATCGTTGATGTATTAGTTATGTTACAATGTGGATATTTACATAAAAATTCATGATAGAAAGGTAATGAACTATTAAAGGCGTAGTACATACTTACTTGAATAATATGATATTGAAGAAAAATTCATACAACATTTCCAAAACGTATGGAAAGTGCTGCGAAGAATTTCAAGAATAAAACCCGTAGTCGAAAAATGCCTAACTTTCGGTATAGCTCAGCACTTTTCGATCACTTCGAGGATACAAAAAATTTTGGGACATTGTTCCTTACATATTCAGCTGTCTCAAATAGCAAAAATTTTTCGGTTTTGGGGTAAAAGTTTTAAAATGGACTCGGCCGTCCAGATCAGGTGAATACCCCACTGTGCGACGATGGAAAATCGAGAAGAAAACAAATGTCGCCGAGATCATAATCGAGAAAGGACTATGAAAGGAAATTTTTACAAACGTTATGACATATCGATTACGATATTATAGTGAAGTAGGTATACCATCTTTCCTTTTGCTACTTATTCTAGAAATGAAAGTATATAAGTATACCGTGCCATTTACGAAAATATGATGATTTTGTAATTTCGGAAGATATGAGAGTCATCAACGAAGTAATTTTAGAATCTAATTGGAAGGTATTATTTTTAATTTGTATGTCGCAAATAACTAGATAAATTAGGAAAACAAATATTAGGTGAATATTAACATTACGCGATACTTCAGTTAATATACGCAGTTAATATCAAATTCCAAAGAAAAAACAAATTTAAGTGACAATCTCTAATTTTAAGACAAAATTAAGACAAAATTAATAAAGACAAAATTAGGTAAATTTGTAATACCGATAAATAGGTTAAAAAATTCATTATTAAAATTACGTTAAAAAATTATATAGTTTTATCAATTATTTGACTCAAATATCAGTCTATTTTCTTGTATATTCATATACAGATACCATAAACACAAATATAAAATACGAATAACTTGAAATTTTGATGTTTAATTTATTCTTACTTCCTTTTTTATGTATATTCTTTCGAAACAAAATTGTAGTATTTTAAAACATCAATATATTATTACTTTATAATTATTATATTATAAATATAAATATATTACCAATTAACTTATATTCGGAGTGTAATCTTATGCATTTCCACTGAAACTTTAACTATAAATCAATTGTAGTAGTGTAATAAAATAAATAAGTACCTATTAAAATTATTTTAGATAAAACTTTAATTCAAATTTTGTAGTCAAGTGTGTGTCTTAGATTTTAACTTTTTATTACGTATGAAAGGCTTCTGCAGAGTGCATACAAAACATTAAAATGATAAACAGACTTTTAAGTAAGTATATATCTAAATTTCTATTCGTGCAATTATTTTATCAAGACATGCTATCTATTGTTTTAATACTTGAAAACAGAGTAAAGATACAAATTCATACAAGCAATAAATGCATTAGGTTTGAATATTAAGAGCTCAACAAAGTTTATTCAATAACTCAACTAATGATGAAATTAATTTGAATTGAATAAACTCTGTAATATCATCCTAATTCCTATTCTGTATTAGTGTAAAACAGGTGTGTCCTGCATCAATGATGGAACACATCATGTATGATAGTTTTTTTATCTCCTGACACGTTTACTCAATGTTACAGATAATAAAGAAATTGCCTTATGCTGTTATATCCTACTGTGTCATGTATCTATAAGCTGAAAAGGGTTATTCATTTATTATTTAAGAATTCGTTTCTCTAATTTCATTCAATATTGATAAAGTTTTTTTTATGCAAGTATTTGTATGTACATTCAAAGT